TATTTCAATTATGTTAAGTTGATTAAATCGATTAATATCACCACTATCGCCGCTCGGTCACGTGACTAGTCGCGTCGCATTTTTATCCTCTGACACTAGATTATATTGATATAAATAAAATTAAATATAATAAAAAAAAATTTTTTTTTATTTGATTTTATTTGCAAAGCTTATTAATAAACAGATAATCACATATTCAAGAGTTATAAGCATGCTAAAAGCATTACTTTCAAAAGAATTCTGACAGCAATCTGCCCGTTTTTAGCCAGATCAAATTGCTCGCTTAAAAAATTGTAAAGAAAAGTTTTTGGAATGTGTTTAGCTGAATTTGACGTTGATAAAAGCAATATACAGTATTTCAAGGGAAATACGTGAAACTTTTAATTCTCAGTAAAGTCTACTGCTTTTTAGAAGCTTTCATTCACCTATACAAAACGCGTGTGTTAAGACGTTAGTTTGTTTGAAGATATTTACTCGACCAAAGTTTGGCGGCCTCATTAATAACCTTAATTACAGTGACACTTGGGTCCAGTCCATCCCCACTTGCAATAGCCACCTGGCCTTCCACAAGTATCGTGACAAAGAGCGTTACAACAGCCGGTGCATAAGGTGCAGGAGCTTCTGTCTCCCTCGCATTGGTACCCCGAAGAGAGACTCATCAAGTAGAAAATCGCAAGGACAAGAAGAATAACTTTGAACATGATCGTGAATTGTTGGCAGATTTGGACTGGGGCCTGCAGATACAAATACTTTTCTCACCAACTTGACGCAGCAACTATTTATGAATTATGACTTCATAAAAGCGTTCATTATTTTGTCATAAGAGAGCAAGAGCAGTCATGATGTGCGCCAAAATTGGCGTGTATTGGTTATTTATAGGAAAGCCTTGAAATATTTTAACATTTGAAGACAATAGATCTATTGTCCAGACAGCAGATTCCACCTATTCTTTACTATTATTAAAACACGATTCACAACAGTCGTCTCGAGTTAAGCCGACTTGGAAATTTGAAAAGGTAATGTACAAAAAATTTATATAATAAAACCTATAAGTACATAAGAGTTTTCATCCACACTAATCATCATACAGACATTATTAAATTCGCCAAAATAGTTTGACGCAGAGATTAGAATAACAAGTTGTCTTTTGACAAAGAATTCATACAATTTTTTTCATTTCAACCAGTGATAGGATCGGTCCACAAAAAATAAAGTGATAGTAAGTAATGCAAAATGCTAATGAATAATAACGATATTTAACAATTTAAGAAACATAGAATATAAAGTTGTGCTAGTATCCGATATGTCTGTTGGGCTGCACGAGAAATAAATGGTAATAATTTTGTTTCCGATGTTGATAATTAGAGTTCAAAATAAGTGTAACGGCGAATTGGCTAACTTAAGCATTTATTCGCGTAACTGTCGCAAAGAGTTTTTCACAAATACTTAGAATGAGGTGTGCTACTTTCGGTTATACTCTTATACATTAAAAAAAACTACAGTATTAATAACAGCAATGGGAATTAAAACCCATAATGAATTTTGTAGAATGTTAAGGTAAATGCTATTCTAATCACATAATCTTTTTTTCTCACTCTTGTATTATCTAATGAAAATGATAGATGTGTTTTTTTCAGCTCCTGCTTTTAAACAATACGTATTCAAACAATTATAGTGTCCAAAAATAATTGCCCATGTTGACTGGCATGAAACAAGTTTGATAACCCTGCGAAAATTAGTCACGTGAAAGTCGCGTTTTCTTCAGCCCTACTTATTACACTCACCAATATACTACGATTACGATTATTTTTAATAAAAATAATGGTTGATTATTTAAAAGAACCAGCTATTCAAGTGAAAAATCAATTAATTTTATTATGCAATTAGAACCTTCAAAATATCTCACGACTTGTTTATAGTTACGTATACGGTTATGTTAAAAATAACGCACAACTATGTTTACAGGTATTTCATTGAAGTCAGCTTGTTCTTTAGCCCAAATTTACCATCGATAAAACAAAAATCGTGATGCTAGGTGCTTAATCAATTTACGATAATTATTTGAATTATCATTCTTAACCCTATAGTTGACGATTCAATATTATAAATAAGTTCTGTTTTCGTATGTTTGAACGAGATAATGTCAAAAACAAAGTATCGTGAAGCACAAGAGATCAGAAAAACCTAAAAATTTATCAATGAAAGTAAAGATTCATCACGCAAGGGTCAGCTCAGAGAAACAAAAAAAGGACCTTGACAGGTAATGTGAGCACTTCAGGCAAAAATGTCCAGACCATGGACTCACCAGAAACATTGGGTCAGGTCACAACTAGAAACACTGGTGCTTCACATCCATTTTGGAACGATCGTACTGAAGAGATATTGGAAGGTTGGCAGATTTGCGTACGAACTTATCGACAGATTCATGGCAAGAACAGTACAAAGATCGTGATACTCGGTTCGGACGTCAACGTTGATGACACCGAATTTGGTGAACCTATTATCAATC